TTTTGCAAACAGATGGGTAAAATACTTGATTTTATAACTAAAAACAGGAAAATATTAGCATTTTTGGTACGCAAGGAATTGTTTTTAAATACGAGATTTTATGGCTTTTCCAGTGTATTAATTGCTGTTCAATCTTTGATGAATAAAAAAAACAAGCAAATAGAAAGCGAGATGGTTTTTTTTGTGCACATTACGATATTCAACAATTGAACGATTAAAGTATTGGCATTATAATAGAAATACCAAAAAGAATTTCATGTTTATTTTTAATAAATCCTCTATAATTTGCTATAGAGAACAGTGGGATGTCAAGAATACTTTTTTCTGCAAAGCAAACAATTCAGCGAAAATAGGTCAATTGGTATCCATGTTTTTAACAACATCGCCAAAGTCTACTTAGCCCCTCCATTTATTATAGAACTCAATGCCCAGAGCCCTCTATAGGAAGAGTTGGGACAACAGGTCTGGGGCGAGTGTGAAGCGACCATTTTCGTTCCTACTTGGAAGTTAAACTTATAATGAAACTGTATGAAATTGGTTAAATGAGCAAAAGAATAAACCACAAGCAAGCTTTTGGCGTTTTTGTTAATAATTACTGCAAACCAAGATCAATTTTTTGGATTTAAGCTACATTTGCCGTTGATTAGTTCGTGCTTTGAAACCATATTTGAAATTGATCGTGACCCACTGCTTGGCGCTTTTACGTATGTGAACGTATATTCTGGCGTATATATGTTTTTAACATCAGCACCAAGATATTTGTTTTCATAGCCTATAGTTTACCAGCAATAAAGAAGATACTCGACATTTCGGTTGCTTATTCTTGGCCGGGAAAACACGTTACTACACACACGTCAGATCTGAATCAATGCTTTGGCAGGTACAAGGTAAGTCAAAATAAATCACTGCAGCTCGTTTTTGATTATATTTACATTTCGAAACCGTAGAGGCAACTTAACTGGTAAAGATATATTCCTTAGAAATTTGTCACTAATAATCTTATTCTAAAGCTAAAAAGTATTTTGAATTTACAACTGAGCTGCTATAATTTATTTTGACTGAAGCTGTGCCTGCCATTGAATCATTGTTATCCATAGTTGGACAAAGTTTGTTTTGAAGCACTGTAGTCATGAAATTTTGCTTAGGTGGTACATATTTTGCAATGTGATCCAGGTATGAGAATTTAATGCAGACAGATTACAAAAGTTTTTTGATAGAAAATATTGAAAATATTTGTTAGATGCAGTAGCTCTTTAATATTTTATTAATCTAATGTGAAATTGTTGATTTCTTTATTGCTTGTAAAACTGTGATTATAGTTAAAATTGAATTCTAATGAAGAATGGCATAGGCTTCTATTTGGTGAGGCATTCGTTGAAAAGGGAATTATTGTTTGTGCATTATAAAACAATTCGGTTGTTGAAGAACAGTCTTGTTTACAACAATTGTTACTGTTTGTAGAGACTTTCATATTGCATACGAGTTTGATCCAGTTTTTAATCTAGCTTAAGAAATTAATAAGTTGAATAATGACAAAACGTCTGCATGTTTTTGCAAATCATAAATACCAAAGACCACACCAAATCATTGATTATTTAAAGACCAGACCGAATCATTTATAAGACAACTGAACATGCTCTGGTTTAAAGACAGCAATGTATATTTCATTCCATGTAATGCATTTCGCCCAGCTGTTTCATTAAATATTTGATTTTTAAATACTTATACTGTACTAATAAATTATGACCTAAACGTACAAAATACAAAATTCAAAACTATATTATTTTAGCATATTGGATTAGCCATAATTGTTTGTTGAAGTGGTTGAGCTTTTAAATTAGTGTCATATTTCAGAACATGATGATAATTTATAATCTTTCTAGAAAGCATAAGCTTTTAATGTAGAATACTATTGGATCGTTAGCATTTGGGCAAACATTAACAGTTCTTCGTGAATAAACTTTTAGTTAACAGAAGTTTGACACATTAGTCTCTACGCGCAATCCAATCTATCTTAAAGCCATTTCTTTCTTCTTTCCTTATTCCTTCATTCTGGTGATATGTATTTACACGTATTAGCCATCAAATAATCAATTATTGAAGCTATATCCACAGAAAATCAAAATGTTTTCTTAGCATACAAACAAACTTGTTATAATCGCCATGCAGACACTAGTTCAAATTTCAAAATTAGGAATAAAAATAGCGGAAATTGATCATGTAACCGATATTGCCATATAACGTTTGCAAACCAGAGAACAATGCATGTCATAACTCTCCCAATAGAAGGCTCTGACTGGATCACGTTTAAGATTTGGAAGTAAGTCAGGCTACCCCACTTATTACTCAAGCTGTGTCTATGTAATTGGTCAAACGGCCTTTTGGACTCCATAAAGAAGTTAATTAAGTCAGGTCATCCCGCTTATAAGGTAACCCATTTGTTTGAGATTTGTTAATACGCCTTTTAGACTCCACTATGAAGCTTGAGTAAGTCAGGCTACCCCAGTTATAAGTCAAGGTACCCCATTTGGTAAGACATACAGCACTGCTAAAATTTTATCATTTTTTACGAAAAAATACGAATTTAAAGCAAAAATCGTAACTGAACTTGGGCGATAGCATAAAAGTGTGCTAGAGTGGAGTTGTCTCTTAAAACATTAACGATCAAATTTCAAAATTCATTTGAAAAATTGTGTTTTCTTTGCAAATTGCAATTGTACGTAAGTCGTCTGACTTACTTGAATTACTTTAGAGCCGCCTCTGCTTTTACAATTCAGTGCCCCCACTTTTGCAGTTGCTTCTTTTACAGTTGCTTTTTCGCTTTTTTGCAATCGCATTTTTCGCTTCTTTTTCTTTAATATTTTTCTTATTTTAATTTATCTTTATAATTTACTGCTATATCTTTGACCACCTCTCTTCTTTATTTCCAAACTTTCTTTGGCAGGCAAAAAATTAGCAGAAGCTCATTTTATTTGATGATCATTTTATTTGTGTTTTTTTTGAACACATTAACATGACGATCAAAACAATACAAATTTGTGTTGAGGTTTATTATTATAATCAATAAAATATGTAGTCCTGTATCAAAGAAAAAAAACAAAACGAAAACTCAATGAATCGTGTCACAAATTCTTTATTTTCATTTTTTATGGTTTGGAAACATTTTATATAACACAAGACTTATAAATGTATCACCATTACCTTCACCTCAGGTATAGTAAAAAACTGCATAATGATATAATAGGAAAATATCCAGCTAGTTATTATTTAGGTAGAACAATTCTCATCAAAAAATAAAAAATTTGAGCCTATAATCTAGATAGCTAAACAAGAAAGTAGAGACACGACTGTCATATAATGAGCAACCGGGATTCGGCAAACCAAGCCAAAAATCATCAAAACTCAAAAGAGTCATTACCTTTTTCGTCGTATGAATACGTGACCATCAACTTCGCAATTTTGCACTGATTCGAGAAACAGAACAAATACTTCACAGCCGCGTTTCGAAATAAAAAAACTTGACCACCAAACCCAAAGAAATTTGTCTTTTACAGTTTATATACAAGTGCTCTATGTCTAGTACTCAATTTATGCTTAACCACAGGTTGGAGTGAATGATAAAAATAATTTTCAAGTTGAAGTTTTTCACCCAAAATTTCCTTATGGCGTCCATGTTTTTGAGAGCCAGTTCCAGACTCCTTTTCCCCTCCAGGTAATTTAATAGAACTCAATGATTCAGCCCCGTACAACCGGTGTTTTCATTAAAGCTTTTTTCCTACAATTTCACCAAGAGTATGAAAAACTTCGTCGTTCATTTGTTCAGTCGTTCATTTGTCATATTGAGTGATTGTCATTTGATTACGAAAAGGAGACTTCCCAGAGACTTTTGCCTTGTTACCTCATATGCAACACAGTTTTCTACGATAAAACGTATTTATACGTAAATATACTTGTACAAAATGTATTTGAATAAATATAAAATGTATTTATTACTGAACATTTTCAAAAGAAAAAAAGCAGTAAAGTTGTGTTAGCTGTACTCGTACTTGTAGTCATCATGTTAAGAAAAAATTGCTTGAATACGAGTACAACAGCTTGTTTATCGAAACCAATCCCTCACGATCAAATCACGTAGTAGAAGTAGCACTCGCAGTCAAATCTGAAGCCCTCTGATGATAAGCTGGCTGCGTCGTTCTTAGTTCTTTCGTTGTTTATCAAAACGACTTGGACGATTCAAGTTATTGTACTTCTCATATATTCGTACTAGCGTTGCCGAAAGACTGCTTAATTAATTTGTACGCGAAACATTTAAAAATGGCGACTGTTGTTTTTCAAAGACAATGTCTTTTTGCTAGTTATTTGCTTCTTAAAATTGTAATGCGCCATAAAAATTCGCTTGCATTTTTCAGCGGTGGTTTCGGTTATCCGGATAGAGTAAAGTTCTATCCAAGCGACCCTGGTCGTTTTGGTCGTGTGAGTCATTTGAGGTCATCTCGGTGGCCTCTGAAATGTTCTCATATAGTCGCAAGGGTCGTTTGTGAAATTTTGGCACTACCAAAATGACTCGAACGACTATATGAGAACCAGGATTAACTTTTGTGTGTGTCATAACATTAACCTTAATCTTCTCCAGTTTAATGTTAACTAACAAACTTTGTTTTCATATCAGATCTCAATGGAAGAAAGTTTCGCACGTTAATCAGCACACAGCTCACATCTGGCTTTTTTACTAACAAGTCATTCTACAAGGCTTGCAATTTGCGAAAAGTCGAGTTCCTGAATTGCAACAAGTTTGCTATAAAAAGTTGCATAACTGTAATATACGCTTAATCAATACATTGAGCTCTCAATTGAGTGAGCTCAAATTCTTTCATTTATTGAACATCGACTGCCACTTTGTAAGAGTAAATGTAATATTTTCACAGTGGATTAAAAGAAATGGCTTTTTTGCACAAGTGATACTGTTGACTTTTTTCAACTTTTTCTGCTTAACTTTTCAGAGTTTGCAATGAAAGATTCAGATCTTTTGTTTGACGATACCATTGGTTCTCGAAGTTTTGATCTTGACAATCTACCGCATAACAAAGAAATTACAAAAACAGTTGAAATTAACGATGTAAGTTTGTTTAACATTTATACATACCATTTAATGAAGATGTATTTTCATTGCTCTCCAAATTATTGCTTAGTCTGGGCAAACAGTTGGAATGTTTGCATCTTTAATGTTGCCTGGTGCAATTATTTCAACATTTATACCATTTTAGAGAGTTTTTTTTAAATTTTAAAAAATTTGTTTTCCCAACCGACAGTCATGCTCATGTTTTTTTCTTTATAAATAAATCACAAAATGCAATGTCAAACAAGTGTATTGAGAATCGTATTAAAAATAACACCCAACATAAAATTCCAAGCAAAGCTTAAGTGTCGAATTTACTTAAATTAACAAATAATAGTTTATTCAAAGTAACGTTTTGTCATTACAAAAGACATCGTCAATCAAATAAGTAAAATGATCAAGATGCATGTTCTATATAAAGAAATTACTGCTTGTTAAGTGTGATGAATTAGACACAAAACAGTAGAGTGTGATTGATGATACAGTTGTACAATGTTGTTAAAATGAGCACAAAAAACATTAAGATACTTAAGAAAGTTGAGTTGAATAGAACTCTTTTGGACATTCCGAGTGATTGTGAGTTTAGAGATTTAAGAAAATTTTCTTAAGTAAGTTATGTAGGGTAAGGGGAGACAATAATCAAATCATCAATGGAACCTAATGAGTTATGGGATAAGATGCTGAATGTAATGTTGTAGGGCATGATAACTGCTTTCCTATCAAAGGCAACATTACAAAGAGTTATGAGATTCTGGTTTGAAGATGGCGCGTGGTTTGACCCACAGAGATTATTGATTTTTTAACATACTTTAGTAAGGTGTTTTTGCTCTTTTGTACGAGCATCAAGAAAATTTGTCATTTTTAAGCGTTATAGTAGTTAATTGTTTTCAGCGAGCTGTTTTTATAACTATATGTTGTTTATAATCTCTGCGTGATTTGTATCTTTTACTTAAACTATACGCAATAAAAACTTGTGTTATTCTTTTTGTATTTCTGTTTTTACAACCCACATATTCACATAGTTTGATCATTTTAAACAGAAAATACCGTAGTGAATGGTCATGATAATAACGCAATAGTTCTTGAAATAAGAACACTAATCGAACAATTCTGGATATCATCAAATTTTTTATTTGAAAAGCAAGAAGTATAGCCCCTGAATAAGCATCTTTTATGAAAACAAGTTCGCTTTACGTAATGTTAACTAGTCTTTTGAGATTAAATATCTGCAAAAATGGCGATTTTTGGCGACATCGGAATTTCTGTCTGAGCAAAATGAAATATGGAGAGCCTGAGTACAGTGACGTCGAACGAGGAACCTAACATCGGCAACTTGTGTTTATTTACATTTATACAGCTACAGCGTCACAGACGTTTTTTAGATTTTTTAAAAAATATGCCAAATGGATGTGCAGCTGGTGGTTGTTCACTCCTGACCCTTCTAAAAACATTGGCCATCATAAATTCCCGAAGACGAGACGGAGAATGTGGGGTGCTTTTGTTTGTTTAAAGCGTGCGAAATGGTGCCCGACTGCTAACTCCAAACTTTGTTCGGAGCATTTTTGGGCAGATGATTTCGAGAGTTACTTTATAGCAATCAGATCAGAATTTTTTATTCGTGCGTTGTTAAGAAATGATGCTGTCCCTACAACACACAAGACAACAAATCCTGAAGAGCGTTCTACTTCCACGAGAGTAACAAGACAGCATCGTCGCGTAAGTGAATTTTAAATTGTATTGCTATACTAAAAAATGCGAAATTTTAAATAGGTTTTTGGAGAAGCGCTTAGAAAGAAAAAAGTTGTCGCTGAAACGATCGGTGATCTTGTTTGAGCACAACGCTAATAGATGCCAATTTGCAAGTCGTCTCTCTAGTTGAGTATCCACAATCAACAGACTCTCGTCCTCACAGGTATGTATAATTTGTAAGAAAGCTTTCTTCAATTATAAATAGTTTATATAGGATACACTTTTATGCACTATTTTAGTTTAAAAAAAGACACTGGATGATAAATGCAAAATATAGCCTTTCAGTTTCTGAATTGCATCTTAGAGATAGTTTAGATGAAAGTATATCCATTGAGAAAAAATTGGATTTCTCAAAGAACAAGACAGCTATAGTGAAAAGGAAACTGATTTCAATGAAGAACCTGGAGTTTCTGACACGTCTTCTCCAGAGCATAGTTTGTTCTCTGTTCTTGATTCCTTTGCAAATGATGACACTGAAAATGATTATTCAGATTCAGAGATATCTTCTAGTGATAAGAAGAGTCAGAACCATTAAAGTATATATATATATATGGATCAATAGAGTTCTTAGTCCAAGAATGGTGCTATGTAATTATGAAGTAAAGAAAATTTATCATTTAAAAATTGACAATTAATCGACAATTTCATCATTTTGAAAAGTGTGTTCTTTTGTTTCATAGCGCAATAAGGGATTATGGAAATCCGCGCAGTGAGGGAAAGTTTATTGTTGTTCTATCACAACTGCTGCTTCTGTTCACTATTTGCCCTGGGCTTAAGTCAGCTAAGCCAGTAATTGAGACTGGTACAATGGTGAAGGTGACAACCAAATGTTTCAATCCCCATCGTGCGAAATCAAAAATACTTGAAAAAGTGAGCCACAAATGAATGGAACAAAAATGGCAGCTGGAAATTTTCTCCTTTGTTTCTCTACATTGGTATCTGGTGCTTTCCCTTCCAAAATTCTGCTGGTTTTTGAAAATATGGCACTGGCATGCTTCACCTTGAAGACTTATAACACACATCAATCAGTATGTGCCAGAAATGAATTTGATTAAGTCAAAAAATCTCATCTGCCATGTGTGCAAATTTTTATACTAGTTTGAAGATTATCATTTGTTTGCTTATTCCAGAAAATGCTGTTACACACCATCCATCTGTATTAGTAAAATATAGAAAAGATCTTCTTGGAAAAAGTGAAGCAACCGAAAAATGTTTGTCTTTAGCTAGTGATAATTGACACGATAGCATGTGGCACAGTGCTAAATACTCTGCCTATTCTATCTCTTCTTGCACTGTTCCCTACATCATTGATTTCTCATTGGTTTAGGTAGGGTTAGAAGAGGTTTTATGTAGTTTATGTGGACAATTATACGATTGTTAATATCATGCTATTTGTAGTTACGTAACAATTATAAAACTTCAACCCAGTCTTACTGAGGAGAAAAAAAGAAATCTTCAGTTGAAAGAAATTTGTGAACAAAGTTTTATTGTATCTAATGCTCTATACTGTTTCATTGACGGATTGCATCCGAGTATTGTACTTACTTTTTTGGTAATGAATATTTCTTTCACATAGAGAATGTAGCTGGAAGCAATCAAGCCATAGAGATGACGGCATTCAAGAATTGCATAGAAAGGCTGCTGCTTAATGGGTTTCTCTATGATACATTTATCACTGACCGTCATATATCAATTACAAAGTATATGAGAGAAAGCCTTGGCCTCATCGAGCATTACTTTGATCTTTGACATCTTAAAAGGAGTTGCGTATATCTTTGAGTAATACAATGGCTAGCATTGTAATGATTGAGTTAATTTCTTAAATGTTGTAGTGAGAATGATTTTTCGATGTTTCTCATTTTGATATTATTTGTGGTGGATTTATTCCATTTCCATGTAACCAAGCTAATAATAACTATCATTTCTTTGTAGAAATGCAAAAAGTTTTAAAAGGATTAGTAAGGAGAAAGAATGTGAGCAAGCAATTAGTTGGTTGAATAAAACCATGTGAAAATCATCTTACGTGGAATGTAACATGAAATCCATCTAGAGATAGTGAATTGATCTTGGCCAAGTTCGAGTCTTTCTTGTCTCACATGGTTAATAAGCATTCAGACCTTCGTAATTGAATATTTAGCATGTGTGCTCATGATTCTATCTCTGATAGACAGTGGCTTGAAGAAGGTACTTATGCTATTTATTTTTATTATAAGAACATTAAAAACCATAAATACAATTTATTTGCATTGTTGCTTAACCAATGTCAATACACTTTTGTAGATACAGTAGTATATGATAAAGTTTGCAAGAGTGTGAAGAAGAAAGCTTTGATAAGATGGATAAAGAAGGCATCTCCACCTGCACAAACAAGCTGCCTTGAAGGTTTTAATTCTGTTGTGAACCAATTTGCTCCAAAAATGATTCATTATTCATACGCTGGAATGTATTACAGGTAGAGGTGCTATAATACTAATCCCAATAACTTTAAAAAGCTCCCTCCGACTGTCCAGAATAATTTATAATTTACTACTACTCTTTTTATGGTGTTTTAATCTTTTATTATCTAGGCATATACTTGTAGCAATACGTTTCAATTTAAATCTTAATCGAGAAGACGAAAAAAATGCAGATGGTAGTCATCAAATTAAAGTGGTTTATCTAAATTTAAGAATGGGGAAGCTACTGTACGCAATGTCAAAGTAAAGCCTAATTATCGTGTGCTTGCCACTCTATCTTCAATTGCTTTTGTCATCTGTAGGCAGAAACCTAGTTTTTCTTGCATGATATGCACAAGCAGGAAGAGGATTTCTCATCTTTCCAACTCGATCATAAACAAGTTTTATAAATTTCTTGTAGTAAACCTTTTCAAGAACCTACAAATTTTAATTTAAAGTGATGAAATCATTTTTATATTGCTTGTTCTTTTATGTTAGGCAGGAAAAATGATACTTGACTTAGTTAATTAACAAATGAAAGCATAGAAACAGTAATTTGTTTCAAAAATATAAATACTTATACCAGATAAAGTTAAAATGTAGGAAAAAAATAACATAAAATAATAAACAATCTCACTAACGCTTCTTCTGATCCAGATTGTCGATAACTTTTTTTTATCAATGGTGCGGCACTTTGATGCAGAGAGTCTTAATGACCATCTCTTGAGGCAGACAGTAGAAAATCCTGGGTGCAGTTTGATATATTCAGTGGCAGTAGTCATTTCTTGAAGCACCCATTCATCTGACAAGCAATGAAAACACCTATTGAATCTTTACAGCACACACATTCATTTTCATTCTCTTAATATACTGTAGAGCGATTAACACACGAGCACCTAAAAACAAAGAAAGCCACACCAATCTGTTGACTAATGATGTTTATATTTTTAATATTTCACTTACCAATTACTAACAATATCTCTTCCTGCGAAAAGATCCTTTAAATTTGCCAATCTTTCTTTTTAATCCATTTGCCGTACTCTAAAAGTATTTAGCCACTCTTCGTCAGCAATAGGCTCATTAGAGCACGTTCCAGCATCAGCGCCTGTCTCTTGTTTATTTTCGCCATCATTATCAGACATTTGCATTATTTTCGATTCAACTATCCTATATACACCAGGATAATAGTTGTGTTCCGAATCATCTTCAGGAATAGAGTTATTTTCAGAATCAGATGTCGTGGCGGACATTTTGACTTCGATTTATACGTAAAACGTTTAAAAAATACAGAAATCTTATGCTGCAGCACAATATATTTAATGTTTTTAAACATGGGATTTAAACGCGAGTTTCTAGTCTCAAGCACCATTCCTTGCTTGTCACTTCGCTTGGTCAAGTTTCATATAAGCAAACTATATTCGCGTAAAAAACTTAGAAATTTATCAAAATAAATCAAAAACAAAACTGGATCTTAGTTTTTAGTTGTTAATACTATCAATTTACTAAATAAAAAAATTGGGTGTTATGCACTTTAAATAATTGTTTTTAAAGCTAAGAAAGACTATGCATATCGGCAGACTATTTATCATGAGTCAACGTCTACTAAATGAAAGCTTAAAATCATGTGGTACTTATAATGTTACGAAAATGTTAACAACATCTCTAAATTGAGAGATAACGCTTGAAACAGAGAGATAAGTTCACTTAATTAATACAGACTCCATGACGCGTAACTGAAATAACCAGCGAAATATTAGCTATTAAGAAAAGTATAATAAGAAATCTTAATACAACATCATGAGAATTACAAGATCTGAGAATCAAACAAAGCAACGTGAAAATCAGAGAACTTGAGGATACAGCTGAAATGATCCAAAAACAAAGAACGAAGATTCCAAATTGGAAAACTCCAGGAATAGATGGTGTCCATTATTACTGGATTAAGAATTTTAATCTCTGCAGGAGAGAGTATCTATATTCAAATGAATGAAATTTTATAATATTAAAACAGTGTAATTATGCTAAAGGTGGAAGAACATTCGGAAAGTTACTTTTAATATTCATACAGCACAATTTCTGAGGACTTAACTATGTTTTCAAAAAGCATTTAGAAGATTTTGTTGCTATCTACTTGCGTGAGATATTCAGCTTATCAACTAAGTCGATTTATCAGTTTCTTTATATGTCTTTATAAAGATATTTTTTGACAACCAGACTACTTAAATTTTCGTAAGTACGCAAAGAGCACCTGCAATAGAAGGTGCAGAAATGCAATAAATTTAGAAAAGTATATGCTCTTATAAGTTCGGTACGCTTCTCTCCAAGATAATGTAATCTAGAAATGTGTTGAGTACAATTATGGGTGATAACACCCAAAAGTATCATTGGAAAATTTGCTGTTTGACAAAACCCCATGACATTTTAACTGGTGCACTATTTAGCGCATTAGTTATCGCAAAAAAAATATCGTTAAAAATTGTGCCATATGTTACAATAACTTAAACTACATATTTTATATAAAAGGCTCGCGCTAGATAAGTTTTATGTGAAATATTATCTTTAATGTTGAACGTTATTCATAGAATTTTTAGTAGTTAAAAAGTTCTTACTATTACACAGAATTATGTAATTTTATACTTTTTTACAGAAAACAACACTTGAATTGAAGCTGACGGTGAGAACTGAGTAAGTGACAAACTACATCACACTTTCAATTTTTATTAAAGTACAACAGTGGGCCAACTGAGCTGCATATTTACAATGTAAGTTACGGCATACTGTTGTAGCCTATACAGCTATGGAACGAAGAAAACTTAGATCCATAAAAAATAGGTAGTGCGCATCCAAGTATACAAACATTTTTTCATGTGATCCACTTTTGCTTGCTTTCAGAGATATGTCGCTTAATGATGTTTCATAAATTGCTTCGTTATTATGTTTAATGCCTAAGTCATTTTTGGGAATCTTGAGAAAAAAGGGAAACAATCATAGTATAATTTATTGTCAGCCAAGCTTTTGATTGAACGTCATATACTGAACTTATTGAGTCGTTTTGACAGTTTCGAATTGGAGTTAAACTTTAACTCTGAACTTATCATAATTGCATGTGGGTGCTAATTACGGTAAGAATATTTAGCAATTATCTCACGAAGTTTCTTTTAAAAATATTCGAAAAACGATTCTCCGATCGATTGCATTGTTCCAATCCACTGAAGTGCATGCCAAATAGTTTAACAAAACAATGGACATGTTTTGGACATATTTTTGTTTTTGCTTATTCTTATAACAAGAATGCATATTACTATTGCATTATGAAATCAGAGTTGGTTAAGATAGTTTTCTTGTTTTTATATTATAATGGTAATGCGCACTCGGAAAAATTAAACTAGATATGTTCAGTTGAATCTTGTCACTGCATCAGTCTCATTAAATTAATTTATTTCATGGATTTTAGTGTGGAAAAAGAGTTAAGACTGAGTTATGACCTATGCCAGCAGGAGATCGACTTTGTTCGACAAAGAAAAGAATTTATACTTAAAAATATGGTGCATGTCCTAGGGAAAGAAAATGCTCCAAAAACAATTAATCAGGTTTGTAAAACATTACAACTACCCTATGCAGAATGTATAATAAACTGAATAGTTAGAAGAACGTCGCTAAATACATCTTGCCGCAAGATATGAAAAAACCTTAATTCAAACAGTTGGTTTAGAGAATTTGGCTCATACATACGCCAACATTTGGCTTTCACATCGCTAGCTATTTCAGATTTTTCACTGTTAAATTGCATTTTTTCATACAATTCTCATCTGTGATGGTTTAAATGGATCACAGTGCTTTTATTTTTTCTTAAACTCCATCAACAAGTAATTGCCTTTATCTTTGCCATTTTTATGCCCAAGCTGTTTAAAAAGTTCTTTTCAGAAGGGGTGGAGCCAGGAATTCTCCGATGGAGGGCTAAGGTCCCCGACGTGAGGGCTGACTTGCTAAGCTGATGTGACAATGCACTTTCCATGCAAACCTTGTTTTCAGACAAGATTTTCAAAAATTATTATCAGTCCTCACTTTAAATAAATCATTGAACCATATATTTTGTTTTGGCAATAATAATTTACATCTACATGAAAAATTAACACTACGTATTCGACTACTTGTGGGAGCCGTAACTAGAACGCTAATTTGGGTAATGGGTTATTATTTCGTATATTCGGTTTTACCTAATTGATTTTTTTGAAAAGAAATTTAATTTTAAAAGAAGTTAGTCTGACCTAACGGACTATATGAATATCCCCACCAATACCGATGTACTAACAGCCCTGCTAGTCGTGCATGTAACCTAGGGATAAACATATGATTGTCTACAGCAAAGCTATACAGTAAGTAAAAAGATTGCCCTGGGTTTTCTAGTAATTTTGGATATTAATAATTAAATTGAATAATAGTTATCTATGACAAAGCTTTATAAACATGTTGAACATCTTCTGTAACCTATACCGAGCTCCAATCACAGTAAGACGAGAATCCATTAGTTATTAGATATACTATTATTTTTTTCATGTTTAAATGTTTAACCTAAATCTTATGTTTGGCACTTAAAATATCTCAACGTTAACGTTTTGCTGTTCTTTTTGACTTCATGTATATATTGAATCAGTGGTGTTTTAGGAAATAATTTATGAACATAAGAGGTAATATTAGTAAGGCACAAGTAAGATATAACTTCGGTGAATCATTCGATTTGATTGTTTGATGTTCAGAGAACAATTCTACAGTTTGGAAACCTAGCGTTGAACTTGTTCACTACAGTAACCAAATCCAGTTTGCTCCCTCGACCGCAATGAACTCCTAACATCATTAGCTGTCCAGGCGCTTGACAGTGATTTGTCAATGGCAAGAATCGCAATACACGTAAAACTAAAAAAATCTGATGCTCATTGCTGCTTTAAAACTTAAACAGCAGAGTTTCTCAGTTTTTACAAAAAAATTCCTTTCAAAATTTGAAAGTCGAGTTTCGAAAAAACCACCGACAAAAAATTAATAGTGAGCAATCGCCGTGGCGATTGCTATGCAAATATATCTCATGTAGCATTTGCATATCCGTTCTCTAATGAACATTCAAAAATAAGTATTTCAAAGTAACTTTATTATGTTTTTAAATTTGATGTGAGAAGCTAGTGTGTATGAAGATTATTGTCGACAATAGTGACATTACTTTGAGCGAACGGCAATATTTGACATTGGAAATTACATTTTTTCTTTATTCATTCCCTGACGGGGGGTGAGTAGGATTCCCCGGCAGGAGGTCGGTATCCCCTTGCCTCCTCGGGGGCCACCCTGCTTTTGGTAACATAATTCTCATTACAGGGAGCATCGTTAAATATTTGTAAATGTAGCCGATCTAGGTTGTAGAGTCCCGAAAAGGACTCTTGGTTCATCTCACAAAAATGGTCGCAAACAATTCAATTTTTAATGGTGAGCTCTGAATGCACCATTTCTTTTGGAACTTTTAATGCCAAATTTTACCGTGAGCTTTTATTTGCAATATTCTTATAGTTAACTTTTAATTCCTTAATTTTTAATACCATGTTTTTAAATAATCATTAAATAATGATTTTATGAATATAATGATTAGAAAACCATGCTTGAAAAATGGGCATTGCTGTTCTTTTAAAAAAATCATTCCATTAGTGTATTATAATAAATGGTTTGAACTCGGGAGTATCGTTACATGTTTGCAAAAGTAGATCGTCCAGGTTGGTATAGTCCTGAGAAGGACTATTTTTGTTGTTGTCGACTGACGTTTCGACAACCCTGGTGGTAGTCATCTTCAGAGTGAAGTGGACTCTGAAGATGACTACCGCTAAGGTTGTCGAAACGTCAGTCAACAACAACAAAAACAGTCGTTCTCAGAACTATACCAACCTGGACGATGTACATTAGTATAATATACTGATCAAATGTAAGTTTGAAACGTGCAATAATGTGTTTGTGATATTATCGTATTGTTCTTGGCTAAACAGGTTCCTGTAATTGGGATAATGGGATCAGGTGGTGGCTACAGAGCTGCGTGTGGATTATCAGGAGTATTCTGTGCTTTACAAGAATCTGGTATTCTAGACTGGTCTACATTTGTAACTGGCTTGTCGGGATCATCTTGGTTAGTGAACATAAAAAGTTCTAAGAATCAAATTAAACTTTCTATTTATTTGGAATATCCATATGGTTTAGTACAATTTATAAGAATCTTTAAAAGCTTCCTGGACATCACATTGTAAAAAAATGTATCAGGATTGTCTATTAAAACTGCCAAATTTCATGTTAACCTTAAAGCGATGTTTCATCCATTTTAAACTGCTGATGTTACTGATAGTTCTTGATTTTTGCAGGATTTTTGTGAGTGGCAAAATTCATACGATAAAAGACTTATACTTAAAACATTAATGTGGATATGTTTGCATAATTCCTACGGTTTATTTTACCGTCTCAAATTTTAGTGCAGAAAAAAATTATAACGAAGTACTGGTGAGGTACTTTTGAAACAATTTTCATCAATGCTCATGTTTGCAAGAATTTTGTTTTGAAATCATGGCAATTTGCATGCAATAATTTAATTCCATGTATGCAAGGTTACTTCACTTTTTTATGGACAATTGTTCACTTTTGAGTAAAAAAAAACTTATATGCATGGAATTAAATGCAAATGATGTTTTTTTCGCGTTCCTTAGTCGAATCTTCTCGCAGTTTGTTGGTAGCTGTAAAATAAACACAACAAGCCATAACATATAAGAAATTAATTGATGTTAATGTTGGGTTATCGTTAATTCGAACATTCATTTAGAAAAGAGAGAAGAAATTTAAATGTCAATAACTTTGGATTAAAATTCCTTGGAACATGTATATATGAAAGAAAAACGGTGGCCCTTTCAGTCCGACCTGCCTTATTTCGCCATTTTTCCGGCAACGTACACGTGTGCATATGACCTCATTAAAAATGCAAACAATGTCAAACCGTGTTTGATAACAAAAACGATACAAAAGCTTAAGATGCATTCATTTTATTTTTGTGTTTTAGATTGTTTTTTAAAGTTATAGTGCAAATATACCAAGTTGGTCGACAACTTAGTTACACTTAAGCTCAATCGCACCTACTTATATTTATTGATCAATTTTTGTCGACATCATGCATTCAGATAAACTATAATTTCAGAAAATTGATTTAATAACCCTAAAATTATAGGTATATATCAACTTTGTACCACAAGAATGCTTGGCCGACCGCTATCAGTTGTGAGGACATGGCACAAGAATTGAGAGAAAGATTCAATACTAGTCCATTGAGTCATCTTCAAATGAATTTCTTTTCTCGTATGATAGCTAAGAGAAGGCAAGGACAACTCACCAGGCTGGTTGATCTCTTTGGATATTTCATTGGTGACAGTTTACTTGATGTAAGATCAGTAGATTGATCATTGACAGAATATATGATCCTGCTATAAATATTGCCAATTCACCCGTTGTGTGATTTGGAAAACTTTAAAACCTTATCTTTTCATATCCAGCGATGTAAAATGTGTCTTTTACTTTCAAAACTGTCTATCTTTTCACAATTTAATCAGACTTCTTTGCATATAAATCGTCAAATATAATCCTTGAAATAATAGACCACAGTGTTTCACATCAAAAAAATTTGTGTAACATTAAATTATCTATATTGATGTTAAACAACCTGTTTTATATATCCTCGCTGATCAGTCCTCAAGGAGAATGAAAACATGATTTAAAAGTTGCAGCAGTAATTTTGTGCAAAAGGATCGTAAATAAACTGTACAAGAAGTACACCCATTATATCATAAATTTAAGTGTTTATAGCTAATAGTGGCTACAAAAAAGTCCAATTTATTTTGCTCCATATCTCTAATGTTATTTAACTTTCAACACTCTAGAGACCATGAAAATATATAAAGGTATTCTCTTTTATCCTTTTTAGAACATAGATGCAAAACTTAGTGAGCAAAGTGAGAGATTAGGAAGTGGGAAAGCACCATTACCCATCACCACAGCTATTCGTGTGCGATTGGATCATCCCGCGAATGAGTTTAATGGTATCTGTTTTCACTTTATGCACAACAATTTATTCATTTCGACACATATTGATCATAAATTTTCAATGAAATCTTGCAGACGTTCATGCATGTAATTCTGTCAATATATGATAAACTGGTTTAAGTCGATTTTATGTAGGCACTGTTCTGCCACTATTGTGTCATAAGCAAGTAACAATCACTAGTTGTGAGTGCAATGTTAGACACACCACTAATGAGTTCGTAAATTTGCGAAAAGATTTATAACAAAAAGTCTTTATATTTTTCAATTTTTATTGTGATTTTAATAAATCATGCATATTTTGCTATGTTAGGTTAACGATTTGGGATTTATATAATGTGTATAAAAAATTGAATGAAACTTTAAATAGGTAGCTTCAGCTATAATAGCATGGTTTGAAGTAGAATTTGGAATAAACGTGTACGATTGGGTTTTTCAAAGAATGTCAAAGTGCATTAGTCCGAATAACAAGTGCAATTTGAAGTCTTTGAAAAACTCACAAATACGCGTTTTTTTTAATTTGCACGAGAAACTATGCTATCACTTATTCATATGCATGGAAAAATTTCGTCTGTTCTGCAGTTTTTAAAATTCGACTTCAACGTAAGTGCATTTTATCCTGTGATTTATTAATATCGACCAGCTTGTTTTTTTGGAACACCATTTCTTCCAACGAGGCCAAAACAAAGTAGACTCGGTTGCCAAAAAAATTACACATGCCATTTACGTGCCTTTGTTTACAATCATCTAAGTTCCCCGCCCTTGAAATGTTTTATTTTAATTGGCTCTTGTAATTGCTTTTTTTCCTATCCAACCAGTCAGTAGAACCTGAGTAATGAACTGAGTAATGCCAGTAATAAGTAGCTTACATTGCATAAAAAATGCCACTGAAGAAAGCACATTATACTGCAATCAGTTTTTTACAAATGCTGTATTAAGTGTGACCTCATAAGTGACCCTATATATGAATCCATCTCCTAGTTAGCATGATCTTTTTTGAATGCATACGATTATTGTGTATGTTCAAACAAAGTTATTGCAACGATCAATTTCATGCATTTCCTGTTATTTTTTCTTAAGAACGTATTGATATAAACAATAGCTTTTACGTTTCTCTCAGCTTCCGGAGCAGTTTTTAGCTATATTGTTATCAAGGAAACTGCAAACATAGATCAAAGCTATTATTTCATTAACTAATCATGTTTATACAATGAAGGTTTTTTTATGTCATTAAAATCATATGCTTCATCAGAAAAATTTTTCAAAATTATGACCAGTTTTTGGAAGACTATAAGTTGACACCAAAACCAAGAAGCCTTCGAGGCATTACCACTTAACAAGACAACTTTTTCAAAACTGAAAGCGTATGAGTTTTAAATCTTGCTCTTAAAAATATTGCATGTTAATTAACTTCTTTTTAAACTAAATACGACTGCGTCACCGAATCAAATGTGCAAAATATAGCTTAAGTGTAGAAGCTGATCGTCTGACAGAAACGGCAAATTTATACTCTTTTTTTAGAGTGGGTTGAGTTCACACCATTCGAGTATGGTTTTGCAAAGTATGGAGTTTTTGGAAAAACTCAAGAGTTTGGAGGGAAATTCTACAAAGGACAGCTTGTAAAAAAGTTTTTGGAACCACCACTGTCATATTTACAAGGTAAATAGATTTTTTTGCCTGAGAAGGAAGGTCTTTCATTGAACAAGGAATATATACTTATTCACGTTCAGGTTGAGTACTATAAATTGTGCCTAAGACCTAATACGCAATTTTATCATTGTTTGAAAATAAAGATTATAAAAACGAATTTTCTCATTGAAACCCTTACTAGGAATTTGGGGTAGTGCATTCAGTATTGCTTTGACTGAACTTTTTAAAAATGGAAAAAAATCTGACAAAGAATTGGAAAGTGAAACAAGTACGTATTATACTTTTTAATTATTGTTCTTTCATTGACTATGTTTGAATTTTTGAACGTTTTTTTAAGGCAAGGTTGCCATCGATGAGGCAAAGGAATGCAAGGCTGAATCTGACGACAGCGACGATGACGACAACGATGACGTAGACGGACCCGGCTCAACTGAGGATGAAACAAGTAAGTCTTGTTCATAGAAAGGGTTTGTAAAGAGCGCACTCTCTGGAAAACTATTTTTTAAATGCTTCACTGCCCAATAAATTGCTTTCCTCAACAGCTATCAGCAATTCAATAAAACCTTCTTTTTATAACTTAAGAATCTATAACTAGTTAAAGAGTACCATGCAGCCAGTGTTGAGATCATTTTTAAACAAAAAATTTAGTAAACTACAAATTATTACATATACAAACAATTGCTTTTCGTTTTTATGTATATTTTCAAGATAATGAATGGTGGCTAACAGAAGCGTTTGACCTTCACAATTTTCTGGCGACTCATCGTGGTAAATCTGCAGAAGTTTTTAACATGTTACGAGGATTGAAATTCAGGAAAGACCACGGTAAATCAATCTTAATAAAAAGTTTTGCTCCACTACCAAAACCAAGTTTTGTTCAAGTACCTCAACTTATGCCCCAGTATGAAAAAATTTGCAAATTAAGAGATTTATATAGTCCACTGTTACTTTCTAGATGCTTCCTTTGATGAAGCAACCGGAAACCATAAGACTATGTGCCTTATTGATGCTGGTATTGCTTTTAACTCTCCTTATCCAACTCTGCTACGACAAGAGCGAAAAGTCGAAATAATTTTGTCGTTTGATTTTTCTCAGCGAGATAGTGACAAAGAGCCGCCGTTTAGTGTAAGTTGATAAGCGAGTATATCGTATTGTTCCTGTATGTATTATAAAACTTTAATTCTATAAATTTTTTGAAGCACTATCACTAATGTGCATTTATTATAAATGACGAGTTATTTGAGAAAGGACATGTTTCCACATCTCATGTTAATGAATAATTACATACGTAATACAAACTTTAAAAAAGTAACATGACACAATAACATTATGATAAATTATAAATATGGATCAATTATAACAATTATGAGGAAATGAGGAGGGTGTTACAAACTAAATATTGTGTTAAATCTAAAATCTTGAACATTGAGGTCATGGTTAGTTTTGTAAAAGTGGAGTGCTTCTTTGATTTTAAGGGAGAATGGGGTGTCTGGGAATGTCAATGATTTTGAAGTAAGAGGGTGAATAGTTGGTTTTAGATGAATGAGATTTAAGAAGATGTCGGTAGATATGAGAGTTTTTGTATGTTGTGGTATGTTCCCTAGTGCATAGATGACGCGACATTGGCCAGTATACCTCAAACTGAACACAGAAACTCCTGATACGACGACCAAGACAAACACAAACGAAAATTCCAAAATAAAAACTCAATACTTTAACCTACCATACATCTGACATTACTCACGACATACACAGCATAGATCTAGATTGTAACACGCTCCCTGCCAATTAATCTCATTTCCTCATTATTGTTATAATTTATCCATATTTATATATGTATCATATTGTAACTGTGTCATATTACTTTTGTGGGCTCTGTATTTATGTAATTATTCACTAATACTGAAGATGGAATCGTGAAATGTCGAAACATGTCTATTCACAAAATCTCGTCGTTTATATTAAAAACCTTAATTCTTAGACTCCGACCGAAAATCATTACACAGCAACTGGTTTTATCTACTTTTAAGGAAATTTGTTTCAGGGTTCTTATTTTTTTTCAACAGCACATTTTCAATTATGATTTTACTTTGGTAAAATGGGATAATAGTACAAGAAACCTCTACAACTATGATTTGATTATAACAAAAACTGAAGGTTTTTTGAGTTATTAAAGGACATTGGCAACGAAAATTTTTATGGCATATTTTTGAACCTTTGTGATGTCTAACAACTAAAATAGCAAGATTTGTTTTCAAAAATATTTTGTTGCTGAGATATTTGCAGCAAAAGTTTTATAAATTTCGTCATGTTGGATAAAATTTTGATAAAATTATCTCGAGCGGTAATGACGTCATTGGCTGGTAAGCAGTCAAAACAACAATACAATATACTTTGTGATTGACGGCGTTACAACACATTTAAAGCATATTTTACGGGGTTTTTTTTTCTGTAATGGATGACATGCACGAAAATCAACCGGGGTAGGTTCTGCCCTATCAATATGAACCTTAAATGAAGGCCGAAACAAGTGAAGAAAGCGGTTTCGAATAGGAGAGTGAGCGGGGCGACTTGTCCTCGTCGGAGGATGAAATAGATGCTGAAGTTGAGAGAGCAAATGCTTGGCGCCTTCAAACTCTAAATGTGGACATTGTACTTTGTCGAAAAAGGCAATCGAGTGTTTTTGTTGCCTTGAAAAAGCGCTTGAATACGATGAGTATGAGGCTTTGCTAGGCAAACAGAAACTCAAGGAGAGTATTGCTTGACAACACACCAAGAATTTAGGGACAATATGCTGTCAGAAAGAGTGTTAAAGATAGACGTGTGTCGGTATCTTGAAGAAAACTGTCCCCTGTCTGATGAGTAGCTGACAAGGATGCATTTATAACTATCGACGTAAGACCTATATGTCGGCTACACATGTATGAATGCAGATGTGCGTCGTTTTCTTACCAGCGTCAAACTTGTTTGATCGATTAAACTCTTTAGTCTATACAAAAAAGTTCATCTCCACGGTTCACGAGAAAGAAGTTAGCTTTTTTGTTATCATTGCTATTTTGCTTCTTTTCATGCAATGGGCAATGGCTTTTTTCGCCACAATTGTAGGATTTTTACTTGTTTTTTTAAAAAAGTAAATATTAAATCTCTAGTATTTACGGATTTTCTGTAATTGAGTTTCATGTTAAATTTCAAAAAGACTCAAGTCTGCATAGGTTTGGTAAATGAAAACAAACAATATTGTATAGAAATTACTTTAAGTAACCTTTTTGTGATGTTCTGAAGTGCAACTGCATCAAATACTTGTAAAGTTGTAGCACATTTTGATTTTGTTGTATTGATATATGAATTGGGCGAAATGCAAATAATCATCAAAACACTTATGCTTCCAATGGTGTTTATAATTCATTTGTAGTTTAAATACTTCTACCTTTCTTTTTCACTTTGTTTTGTTTTTCCTATATTTGCAATAAAAGTGCACTATAATTTGAATGATTAACACAGTTTTCACCTCAATAATAAATTTCATAAGCAGTTGCTAGTGCATTTTGTTCTCTGAGTATCCACATCTGGTGTTTTCTTCATACAAGAATGATGAAGTGCAAGTAGATATGTCATAGCAAGGCAATAAAACCAAATGAATTACATACCTATAGTGTACTCTTATGCTAGAAGCTTAAAAGCTTTTTAGAAATTAGAAATTCTTCGATTATATTACCTCTATATCATCAATCTCATGATAAGAAATAAGAAGCAAAAAATTTGTAGAAAAGCTTTGAAAAGTGAAAAACGTTTCTTTAAAAAAGCAGCAATAATGCATATGATAAATCTCCATTCTGTACTCCAATATGTAAATAAGCTCAAATTTTTCTTAAAGAAATATAAGAAATATATAAGAAATATACAGTACAGTAACTTTAAAGGTTTCATCACTGAATCTTTAATGCTTCAGTATAGTGCATTAGATATTAGTAACATTCAAACAACACTCAACTAAAATATTTTGATAAAGATATGACATGATTTAAACATTAAGTTACATAAAACCCAATGGCTTATACAGTTTGAAGCTTCACATCTGCATCGACTCATCATCAATCTCAGTACAAATGTTTACATAGACACAAACTTTATGGCCTTCCATTTTACATGTTTGTGAATTGACATTTCATTAAGCATCATAACACACACAACCTTCTTAACATCTTTCTTTGGATCATGAACTTTAACTTCAAAGCATTCAAGGCATCATTAGTGAATCCATTGTCTCCATCCATAGTATTTGACCATGATCAAATTAAATAACTCTGGATAGGGCAGACAATAAATCAATTATCTTTACAGCATTATCATTTTTTAAGACCCTGCCTGGTCAATAACATCTTCCAGTCATCTTTACTCCTTGATCTTCCCTGCATGTTGTCAGCAAATAAAACATAACAAGTTCTGCTCCAAATCATGGGTACCGTTGGGGCTGATCATTTCTTTTTGATACTTACTCACAGAGCAAAATGTGTGCAGCGTCTTTTTTGCTTTAGGGAAACTATTTTGCAAATAAATGGGTAAATTTACGATTTCATACATTAACAAATGACAGAAAAGTATGCAGAATTTTATAAACAAAAACAGGAAAACATGAGTATATTTGGCGTTCAAGTCCGTCTTAAAAAATACGATCTTTAATATGTATTTTATGGCTTTTCAAGTGCATGTAAAATTGATTTTCAATCGTTGACGGACTAACAAAACAAACAACTACCTCACCTGTGAGAAGCGATATGTTCCTTTTTGTGGAAACTACGACATCCAGCAATTGAACGATTGAAGTGTTGGCATTATAAAAGAAATGCCAAAAAAGAATCGTCACAGAATATGGAACTACGATATCCATATTCTGTGATATCGTGTTTGTTTTTGAAGAATTCTTTATAATTTACTATAGACACCAGGGGGGAGGTCGAGAATATTATTTTTCTGCAAAGCGATCATTTTAGCGAAAATACGTCCTTTGGCCGCCATTTTTTTTGGCGTCCTCGCCACAGTAAAGTTAGCCGCTCCAGTTATTATAGAACTCAATGGTTGATACCAGCCAATGACATCAGTAATGTATTCCGGCATAATTTAGCATAAGGCTTTTTTTCCAAAATGGCGGATAAGGATTCAACTTTACGTCAAATTTTCTCAACAGCAAAGAGACACGAAAGCACGAAATTAAGTATTCCATAGCTATCTATGATAAACGTATGAAAAAAAAAATTTCATTGCCATTGTCCTTTAACTAAAAATGCTTCTAAAGTTTTGCCACTTGTAGTTTTTGTTTCATCTTCTGAAGAAGTATTTAATTGCTTCCATCCAGTGACGTAACAATGTCTAAAATATATGGAGAAGTTAATATCGATTGTAAAATAAAAACAATAAAACGTGTGCGCTAATTGGTCTGTGGCAGTATTTGCATTAGACTGTTCAAACTGATCTGAGTTTAACAATTTTAAGTCTAGCAATCAATCAAAGAGAATATGCAAGTGAATCATGGATATTCTTTAGAGGAAAAAATAAACGCTTGATTTAAATTTATCTGTATAAGAGTCTGCAAACATAGGGAATGTCTTTATTTCTTAATTTATGCATGTTTTTCTTTACTATGTTCCTCTTCTTCTACACAATAGATCAAGTTATAATCAGCTTTATTAAGTACTGCACGTGATAAATACTTGTAATTTAAAAATTGATCGAGACTTACCTTTGAGTCGAAGTTTCAGTGTAATTCTTTCTTGTCATCAGTCAGGAACGAAGGGGTAACATGAGAAGTACGCCCGCGCTGTCTGATAGGCATATTTCAAAGACCTCACTGGTGCTTACATGGAACGAAGGAGAGCGGGAAGGGTAATTCCTCCCTGAGTGGCATGTACTCCTTAGTTCCTGACTGATGAGAAGAAAGAATTACAATCAAACTTCGACTTAAAGGTAAGTCTCGTTTAATTTTTTAATTCTTTCCTGCCATCAGTCTACGTCACTACGAATTAACACGAGATTTCAGAGCTGTGGGCACCAGTTGATAAAGCAAATATTAGCCTTGCCGCACGGTTTTGTCGTAACCCTAGTCGTAACGGTAATGATTCACATATTTT